AAACGGATACAGGAGCTGGAGTAGTCGTGTGTGGTCTATTAAGACGGGTAAGACGAGCGGCACGAACACCGCTGCTCGTCCCTCACGATATCCATCGCGGTGCTTTCAGAAGAATTGTGCGAGACAATGCTTTTCAGGAGTGATCACGATTGTCGAGAACAAAGAAAAGGGCTTGCGGGGAAGATGGTGCGCGGGAGTGTTGGGCACTGCCAAGTATTATCGCCCTTTACGTGCAAGCGCATGCCGCGGATGTTCGCCAACAAAGAACGTACGAATAATGAAGTTGAACAGCGAACGGGAAGGTGAAAGCGCGGCCGGCGCGAGTGCCGCTTTTGACGTTGAAGCAAGTCAAATTAATTTACATTCTCGAAGCACTGAACACGAATCTTTTGGTAAATCCCGTTACACGCGTCTTTCAGCGCTTCGTGCCGCATATGGCAACTGATTGAACGTAGCCTAATTTCCCGCGAGCTGCGCTCGGAAAGGAATTCATTCAGTTTCATCAAATTCATTGAATTTTCTAATGCTATATGGCGGTTTACAACCGAGCACATACCTGGAATACATCTTCTTAGTGTAATTCAATTTGCAGTGTGTACCAAACATGTTTGTTCAAAACTGGGGAATGCTTTAAGCAGTTATACTAGTTGCGATCTGAATTTGTGCCCGGAATAAATTTTCTCACTGATCTTATTGCTTTATAAAGTTTATTTTCAGAGAATAAATATTTAAAAAATCAAGACGTGCCAGTGAGATATTTTAGAGTAATTTCAGATTTATACGATGATATATTTCATTCTGACAACGAGCATTTTTCTCAATTCTTTTATTTATCTTTACTGTTTTCTCCTGTTTTTTTTTTTTTCTAGATGAATTGATCATTCTGACGGTTCTTAAAAAAGAGTTTTTATCAATTATAAATTCTGAGAAAGATTTATCTGTAAGTTATGAGAAATGTTATATCTTAACACACACTACGCTTACAAAATAATGAAGATTTATTCTATATTTTAATTATAATACAACGATCCTCACAAATATATATAAATAAAACACATACAAGTTTGTAGATGCATCAACTAAAATTTATCGGCTTATTTCAGTCATTTAAAATTCAAAATTAAAGTTTAAAATTAAAGTATAAATATATTGTAAACACGTTTACTACATGTATATGATAAATTAAACAAAATTGACGTCAAAATTATATCGCGAATTGCAGAATTTATTTAAAATTCTTCTCACAAATATATTCAAACTGATTGAAGTTTAGGGGATAATACCGACCTTGACCTTCTTTTCCGCAAAAAAGTTCAAAGACGTGAGAGTATCCGAAGTGAGATTTGTAGTATTGTTTGTCGTTTGACCGACCTTGTTTTGCGTAAATCGCTCTATTCTTTCTACTTCCTTCCGAAATGTGCTTGAGTGTTATCATCGTTGCGGCTCCACTTTCAAAGCAACTTAATCTCTGCGCAATTCGTTGAGCTTTCTCATAGTTCTTTCTACGACAATTATTATATTATTGTGTAAAAACGAGATAAAAGCAAGGAATGACTATAATGAACATTATTTAATGAATTATTAAATAATTTTAAATGCATATTTTAACACAATTACAATTTCTATTTCGTCCGACTTTAAATATTGACGTCTTTATGCTCATTTAATATTTACGAGCGGGAAGCCACATTTATAAGCCAATCCAATTCTTCGTCCAATTTCTGAAGTCATTAAAAAAACTGCAGAAAAAAAAGTTTCGAGAGTTTAATATTTTCGTTGCACATTCTGAACAATGCTCGTGCATTCAACAGTTTTTGTTACGCAAACGTGCAATCGTAAATAAAAAAAAGTTTGCATTTTTCCGAATACAAACATGTATTGATTTTATTTCTGATAATAAGAGATAATAATAAGAGCAAGGATGCTAATCTCGAAAATGATAGAAGAATCATTTCGATTCTCATTGATATAAGGCACCGTTTTCGGATTTGCCTTTTAGATTGATGGGAATTCGGGAAGGTTTGTAAAGTTGCGTTTGTGTAATCTCAGGAGATGCATACGAGAGTCATTTGAATTGCGATTTCCGAAAATCCAGTTTGGGAAATGCCGCAAATATGTGATCTTTGTGAAAATACACAGCGATTTGTTGGCATCTGTCCAACGGCTGTGTTCCGTTTTTGTGAAATTTATTGGTTCTCGATGGCAGTAGTATAGTGACCGCTTTAATGTACAAGCTACAGTTTATTAAAGTTATTATTGACAAAACCGCTGCTTCAAAAATTTGGCCACAGAGGCTAATTAAACAACTTTCTTTTCGACATAGTTTCACTCGACCACCTATACACGTTTTAATTAATTGCCTAAAAGGAACTAAAAAGTACAAGACAAAAAATTGACAATATTAGATGTTTTTATTTATCAAGATAAATCTTTAGAATCAATTCTTCAGAAGTGAATGTAATTTAAAATTGCAAACGCGAGAAAAAGTTTCAACTTCAATACAAGTATAGCCTAGCTGTTCAACAATCATAAAAAACGCGGTTTTATTGATTTTTTTTTTAATTTACTGTCAATTATTTTTGCACGGTCTACTAATTTACGTAATGGCTGACTTTTTAATTAAACTTTGGAAAAAGTCGTTTTTTGATAGACAAGAATTGCGCGTAAATAAAATTTCCCATGCACGTGTAATTGATATTTAATATCAATTATTTATTTCAGCTAATTCGTTTAGCTAAATTGTTTCGACACATTAAAATAAACGAACTGTTGATCGAAAGTTCTCGACGATATCACTTTACAAGCCGGATGTTTAAAAGATGCGAGTCAGTGTAATATCTCGTTGCAGGAGTTTATCCGTATCGGAAAAGATATTGCGTTATTGACATATCTCCTTGACTACTATCAAATCCGCTTCATTTGCTGAAAGATTCGCGGAGATTAAATGATCGAACGTACATAAAGAGCGCGGAATTGTTATTCCAGAATCCGGAGGAAATTTCAGCGGCGGTCAGTGGATTAAAACCGTGCCGACGTCGCTATATTATTTCGCATGCCTCGTTAGGTTAGATGGCACTCTTCGTATTTACGTTGTAAGTTCATAAAATTGCATAAAGAAGTTCCGCATCTTATGTCCTTATAATAAGGACAACAGCGTCATAATAAGATATTGCAAGAAAACAAGAGAAGTTCCTTGAGAGTTGACATTTAGGTATCTTGCGCGTTATATAAAAATGATCTCATTTTCAACTAAATGATCTCTTCGAAGCCATGTTTCTGAAAAGAATTTACAAACTATTATTCTGCAAAATAATTATTTTGTCTTCGAGATAACAATAGCTGCAATGATAAGCCCCCCTCTTTTAACACATAATAAAGAAATTTAATTAAATATGCGTTTTTCTTCATTTATTAAGTAATATAAAATTTATGCGATGCTGTTTAATGGAAAATGTAGACTCGACTTGCACGCTGCTCGTGTACGTGATAATTGCACAAACTGCTGCGCTTTTAGTCGTCAAGTATCGTGACTACTATCGCCCTAACGTCGGATTTAGGGGAGCAACTAACCTGTTACTCAGATGCACTTAGAAGCTCCTCAACTTACAAGAAGATTAATGGCTGCGATCGAGCGAACTCGCCATTAAGAAAGACGCGAAATACGCCGCGTGACGCAGATGGAACGACGTGATCCCAGCTGAAGGACTAAATACTGAGCTCCGTCTTCAATCCCCCGCTTCCGATTGCTACGCGTGTAACCTAATTACGATCGGTATACGCGTGCTCAACAAAGACTTTGATGCGAAACAAATCTCCATTCTAATCTACAAACGAGACAACCTGTTACTTGGCTCGAAACTCACCAACTTATATCAAGTTGGCGGCTTGAGATCGACCGCGGAAACCATCGAGCATCATCTGCCGCTCATCACCATCACCTCGTTAACTGTCTTGCCCAGCGAGCGTGAATTTCGCAACAACTCAATCGCTATGGCGCGAATTCTGACGGCCATGAACCGTAGAATAATTGCAATATATCGACGCGTCAATTATTTGTCATTTGATCGCGATTTATTATGAAATTATCTCTAAAAATTAACTGTACTATTTGCAATTGCAAAATTTATCTCTTTAAACCGTTTCAAATTTACTTAAAAAAGATGAAAATTGTGTTTCATAAAATCTGTGGAAAACTTTTTTAATTGCTCGGTTTCTCATCTTTGTTGTTGCAAGTACAAAAGAGAAATCTTACATATTAAGAACAAGGATTTTTATTCGTACATACATATTATACATGTTTCGCTTCAACGTATATTACAAATTGTATTACACAGATTGCAATGAACTTTAGAATCGCGAAAAGATTAGAAACGTAAATTTTCGAACAAATAAATTTTTCAATTTAGCTCCTTGTCTGCTCGCAATTAATTCTTCCGGAACGGTCGCCATTGTAACAGCCCTCAGATATATTTTCTAATCCTTCTTTTGCCTTGATTCAATTTCCGAACCTACATTGCTACTATTCAACCATGAAGTGTAACGAGTTCACATCTGAATATCGATCACCGAAAGTACTACGTGCTTCGCCACCTTCGCACAGATTATGCACTCGTCTTTCGGATCATCGTGACCATCATTCTCAAATTCAACGCGTTTCGTCACGTCTGACGCATCAACATGTCTGATGAAATTAACTGTTGAAAGCACGATTTTAAGCAGAATTTGCAGCACCTTGTCCCATATAAACGTTCTACGTACGTATGTCTCCTTCGGGTACATTTTTAAGCGCATCTTCATCGCAATCTACGTCGCCAGCTGTTACTTGACGGTTCGCGATTCTTGTCCCTCGACATCCCTAACATGTTAATGTCCGAAAATCGGCTGGCAAAAACAGAGCGATCGCGGTTGAATCGCTCTGCATACGAGTGCACATATCCCGAGCGTCCCCGCTCCGATCGATCGCGATCGATCGCTTTTATAGACGTTTGTACAACACCAACCTGTTACTTGTCGGCAGCTTTCCAAGAGAAGAGTAGGGATGCGTGCAACCCCTCGAGCGCGCTTCTCGGCTCCCTTTCGCACGGTTGCACGTGCTTTCCCCGGTATTGTCTTGGCACCGACAGCGCGCGCCCGCTTTCTTTCCCCGATAAGACGCGATCCGACGGATCCACACCGTCGCCGAATGCGCCCGAAGGGGGGAAGAGCGAGGGGAGACCGGTGTTCTGCGGTATCCCGCGAGTTCAGTTGCAAAGAAAAAAAACAGGATCGCCGCGACACCCCAACGAAGCGACCGTATCGTCGGGCAGGCAGCCCGGCTTGCACTGCCCGGGTCTGCCGTTTCTCCCACCGTAGGACCGCCACCACTGCCTCACCTTCCCCTTCCCTCCCCCCTAACCCCTCTCACCCTCTGCTAGTGTGCCGCGACAACCCCCGCCGCACCATCCGCGTTCTACGAACACGTCCTCTCCCGAAAAAGCTCACCTCTCAACCCCACCTGACGCCGCTCCGCGCGTTCTCCCCTTCACGTCCCTCGTCCTAGAACCTCTCGAGTAGCTCAGGGCGCAAGCTCGCGCCCTCTCACTCCCTTCGAGGGTTACAGGCGAGAAGCCTTCGCCTCGCGGCCGGCTGATGCAGGACGAAGGACAAGACGAAGACACTGCATCGGGAGGAGCGTGCGTCGTCGATACGTGCGTCAATCTCGACTACTGCGTACTCGCCCGCGGTCCTCGGAGAGATCGTCGCACACTGCACGTTGAATGAGTGATCTGACTTTGTTAGTGAATGAATATGATGTTTGCCGCCAGCTGAATGGGGAGAAGTATACATGCGAAGGAAAAAGTCGGCGTAACAGAGTGTGAAAGCAGAAATTGTCGTCAATTTTAGATTCAAAATTATATTTATCATCCTCAGAGTTTCTTCCTAATCTAGCACAGACATTTAAATGCAATAAATTATGGTCTAACAAATGTTACATATTCAATATTCAAATGAATATTCTAAGATAAATATATATGTTATAGTTTCACTACGCGATTATAGTAATTTTATTTCCAATCGCCGTTGTTTATTCATGCTTTTGTACGCGTGAAACTCAACTCAATCGAAACAAATAAATTTTGCACCCTTGCGTATTCGCGTCTGACGCACAATTTAAGTGATTAACCGGATGTGCGGATGCTCGCGCGCGCGTTGAGAGATGAATAAAGAGGCGGAGGACATGAATCTGCGTTATTAACTTAATTTGAGGATCGAGAATGTGAAATGATACGTAAACCAAGTTATAGTGAATACACAAATATACACGCGATATGCATACATAAAGTGTGGAAGCAAATCGAAGTATATATAGCGAAATTTTGATAACGTTGCGTTGGTGTGCCGAATTGTATGCAATATTATTGCCGAAACTATATTCAAGTCGCGTACGTGAATAAACAACATAGCTTCGTTGTCGACATGTTTAATCGAAATGCTGGAAATCGAGTTGCATTGCTGAATCTTAACTTCATTCAGCGATAAATTGCGACATGCTGCTCGCGCGCGCGCGTGCGTTACATGATCCGAGGTAGAAAAGCGTAATACTCTTAAAGTGCACTTAGTAAATATCTCTCTAAACGTAATGCCGTCAAGCTAAATCTGTTGCTTTGCAACACGACAGTACGGAAAATTACATATTCTGAAGAACGGAGATAAACATCTTCCCAGGTTTTAAAGAATTTCACGTTAAACCGATCAGCTGATCGAGAGCGAGCCTCGCGTTAAAAGTTTATGTATATAAAAACTTGATAAATTTATTTTTTCCAGATATATTTTAATAATCTTACATATGTATAGAAAGCTTAATATTTTACCCAAAATTGTTTTATTTTTTATTAAAATAAAGATTATTGGAAATTCTTAAACAAAAGGCGCTCTGGGATTATACAAAACGCATCATAACATAAAATAAAATTCTTTCAAAAGCGAATTATTTAATTAATTTGGAGAAAAGTTTTGATTAGATACTAAATTTTTCGCAAGCTTTTAATTATTTATCTTAAGTATCTTACTAAGTGATTTTGAAGTAAAATTCTGTTGAATTGGAGCTTACTTAAATAAGAAATGAGATTGTGCTTTAAAGCTTAATTTGTACGAAGACGAGAAATCAATTTTTAATTACTTATAATTCAAAAACGTTTCATGTAATATTTTCGTTAAAAAAAATCTACTACAAATTTGTCGAAATCTATGCCGGAGATTGCTGAGGATATATACCTCGTATATTCTCCACGTGTCTGCTGTATCATCATTCTCCTATAATATTCTCTATGTGAAAAGACCGCAGGTGGAGGATTTCAGAGTAAATCCTGACGAGGCGTCACGTGGGACGTCACTACCTGATCGATTTCGCGCGCGGAGAGGAAGTTTCCTGGCGAAAGCTCAGGTCGCGGGCTCGTGCCTCGCTTGTATCCCTGTCCCCTCCATTATCCTGCAGCCCCTCCGCTCCTTTCCTTGTCCGCCGGACTGTCCAGGGATGCGGCGGAGGATATTTCGCGATGCGCAGGCGACGAATCGCGCGCGCATTTCGGGGACACTCCGATTATTACACGTTGGGGATGTAGAATAGTATTCCGTCACGAGGGGGCGGTCAAGAAAGGGTGGGTGAAAGACAAGGAAGAATGCTTCGGTGTGTCGTACAGTGCGGAAAGTTCTGCGTGGTGGAGGATTAGACTTAGGTTGGAACAGCGATAGAAATAGATCCTTTAACGATGACGCTTGTTATCTGTCTGGAATAGAAAATGCAGCGGGGGTGTACATTCTCAATTATCGTCTTTCTCGCGTCTCAGGATACGAAACTTTTCACGGTACACGTAATTCTTATTCCAGCGCTTTTTCAACACGATTTCAAATAGATTTCCAGAAAACTTGATTTGTGTATTTCATAAAAGTGTGCAACTTTCTAATATAAATTACGATTTTAAACGACACGTGTGTCTAAGAATAGTCTGAGATTGTGAAAAACATTTAACGAATGTAATATTAATGAAATATGATCGTGAAAAGTACTTTCGCTGACTTTGCGGCGCCCGCAACATCTGCGCCACCGGTAATTGAGAAGAAAGTATGTTTTTAACAATTTACATCAACAACAAAAGAATGCCGAGCCACAGGTCGAGAAATCCTCTTTCATCTTTCAGTGCAATTCGTTGAGAGAAATCTGTACGCTTTGGCCCTTGATTGTTCCTTGAATTCTGGCAACGTCGTTAAATTCTTACGATGCGAGAATGTCTTTGAAGCGTTATAAAATGCACGGGCATTATTCAAGCCGCGAAATCTCGCTGGGGAATTTAAAGCAGAAACGCAAATACGTAGACCCACTTGTCTTACGGAACATATTTTATGCTTTCCCGTCCACGTGCGTTTGTTAATCTCAAACCAGTACGAAAAGTTTGCTCTACGGAACGCTGATAAAATCTTCGTTTATTCTATTGAGACGAGTACTTCAGTTTACATTTGCAGCTTAACAAAGAAGTAAAGTTACGACATACGTATAATTCTCCTATTATAAACTGCTTTCGAAAACACTTTCAAATGAATACGGAGCTCGCGAGACAATCTAGATATCTTTCTACATAAAATACAAGTATGTCGAGCATTAATTAAAATATCACATCTTTTCCTTACACTTCAATTTTACATGCAAGAACACCGGTCGCTTTTAACAAGGAACATTAATCATTGTTCTCACAATCAGTACATAACATATCGCACTTTCTAGCGCCGGGACTTTACAATGGACTCCTTCAAACACACATACACGCACGCACACAACGGTCGCAAATTAATCCCTTATACACGGGACTTAGACAGAACACAGGGGACAGTTTCGTATTCGAGTATGCTGCGCTTTGTGAATCGTGCCAAAAGCGGAAACGCGTTCAATGCAGAGGCAGATCTCGCAGTTATATCAGAAACACTCAACACTGTATGCATTAATACACGCAAGACAGAAATGATCAGATGATATTCGCCGTGTAACGAGAAATTGGAGTATCGATATCTCGAAGTAATTAACGATCGGAACAATTTAAAACCGTCATACCGATTTCACAATTTACTCTGCATGATTAATTAGGACAGAAATTTTGACAAGCTTTGCTTTATTTTTCCACGCCGATTTATGACAGAAACAATTTTGCGACGTGCAAAACTTTTTCCATTAATCCAATGCCACTGATGGCACATCGTTCCATCGGTCAGGAGCAAGCGCCATTTTATTTCGTCGCTTTTAGTCGGGACGAACTTTCAAGGTCGTGCATTATCAATGAGAACGTAATCAAATTTTTCAACATTTTTTTACTCTCAACGATCGCCGTACATTATGTTCTTCTTTGCAACAAAAATAATAAAATATTTTATCACTAGACCGATTATTAAAAAACAGTTTTATCTAATACGGAAATTAATGCAAACCATAACCATTTGTAAAAACATTATGATGATAAAGCTTTCTTCATTACTAACACAGTCTGCACGACGTAATCTCATGTCCGATATTAACTCACGCGAAAATCGTGCGAGATTCTGCGGGAAAGTACATGTGCTTGTGTAGATAGCTTCCGAAAATTTAATCTGAAATTCGGTTTTTTTCATTCTTAATTATCCAAACATGAAATTTGTGTATTCCCGTGTAAAATAATGATAAATTTTCGAAAATAACACATTTGTGCTCGCGCGGACCCAGGAGATATATAATTATTATACTTTATTAAAACGCAAATTAATTACTCTCGTCGAGCGCAACATCGCTGCCACCGCTCATTTCGAGCGAAAATATGACTAGAATTTTGCAGTTAAATATTATTCCAACTGACTCTCCGCTCAATAATTTTGCTTCCATTGTCTCGTAATTGTATTAGTTTGCGTTATCTCGTAACGTCATTCTATCTATGCAAATTCAAGCTTCGAAATATTATGGTAACTGTATTCATTCCTTGCAATTTTACTAATCTTTTGCACCGCGATTCTGGGACAGAAAATTTACTACGCACCCCAATATTTGTATACATTTCGCACACGCGATCTTTTTATGCAATTAGCATTTTTTTCATATTCTATTGAGTTTGTTGTACAACCGGGATTTTTTCACGCGCGATTGGCGCGTATTACGGGAGGAGTTCTCGGAAATGACGGATTTATAAATAAAGCACGCGCTATAGCAACAGCTTTACACCGATAATCGGGCAATTTCGACGGCGCGCGACAAATATCGTAGAGATAATGGAGACGCGTGCTCTGGCGTGTACGAGTAATTCAATCTGCCATTGCC